CCAGATCTCCAAGAAGTTCTTAAGGGAGTGCTATGTCAGTAAAATTAAATGCAGACACACAGAACTAAGAGTTCAAAAACTAAGAAAATGGGCAACTTAATTGTAGGGACAATGTCTGGAGATGAATATTATATCACAGAATTCAATCTGGAAGGTCGAACCACAACAGAAGAAAGATTAAGTACATGAGACTGAACTGATGAAACAACATTCTGTGACTTGACAAAATATTGCTGCTTTTCTTCTAAGCTTTGTTGTCTGGTTTTAAAGGATTTTTATCCTGTCTTGAGCTGTCGATAGGTGCATGTACCTACTATTTGAACAGAATACTAACCTGTTTCTAAGCTTTAAGTTTCAAGGAAATGTCATTACCAGTTCAAAACTGCTTTTCTTGAAATTACCAGCTGAACTTGCTATTGAAAGTAGTTAGATTACTTATGATATTGTGTGATCAACAAAATGTTGGGGGAAAAGGAATGGAAGACAACTGTATCTAGCAGAGATAGTGTAATAAGAGAGTGGGACAGGGCAGAAGGTCAAACATGGGGTAAAAAACATATATATATATATATATATATACATATGCATATATATGAGAGTAGAAATGGAATATTATTAATGATAACATGTATGATTAAGCCACTAAACAGTTTATTCTAGATGGGAAACCACATTTAGTATGTTGTGATGATACTCAGGGAATGAATGTTAAGTAATTAAAAGTTTCAGGAGAAAAAAAAACAGTAAAACTGTTCTTATCAAAATTAAAAAAAATGGGGAACCAGTAGTTAGCGTAATGGCTATGTCGCTGGACTCCCACGTAGTTGACCACTGTTCGAGTCCCAGACCCGGTGGCTTAAAACTCACGCCAGGCACGTGTACGCCCAAGATCCCAAGAGGAAAATGAAGGAGAAGGGATTGTGGCGTGACCATCCCCCCTGGGGGGTGATTTCTCACTTTCTGTCTCTCTGTCTCTCTCTGTCTGTCTGGTGAGCGCACGCGCCCTATAGCGAAAACCTCTCCAAAGAAAAGAAAAAAAATTTTTAAATGCATATTTTATGACTGTAGTAAGCTATGTAGCCCCAGCTAGGTACTACTTTATAGTATGTTCATTCTACTCACTGAAGTTTATGCCTAAAGTCAGACTTGGGTTCATGTTTATGTATATATTAGCTGCGCTTGCTATTGGAAATATTTAGACTACTTAAGTTCATTGGAAAATCAATTAAATGGGGGGAGGGAAAGGTATAGAAAGCAACCACCATGGATACCAAAGACTATGTGGGAGGAAGGTGGGACATGGCAGAGGGGGAGGGATAGGGAATCAAGGATGACAAAACAAAACAAAACAAAAAGTATACAAGACATAAGAAATGGAAAATTATTTGCTGATAACATGTATGTTGATGTGCTTGATTGAGCCAATATACAGTGTATTTTGGATGGAAAATTCATTTGTATGCTGTAATGATGTATAGTGAATTAAATTTAAAAATAAATTTAAAGGAAAAAAAATGATAAGATTCATTGGAGATACTTGAACTGGGTGGGCCATAATCAGAACTCTGCTCTAGGAAAATCTGACTTTATTCTGATAGCCGGATGGCAACTG